ACAAAGGTAAAAACAAATGATGTAATTAAAGTTCCCCATTCCAATTAAAAAGATATTCAATGGGAGCTTTCTGGTTTCTTCCAGGAACGGCTGGAGAAAGTTCGAAAGCAAGTGCAAGAGAAAGTCCAGCAAAGAGAAGAAGAGCTGGAGACGATCATACAAGCTGAGAAAAATGTTAAGGTATAGTCTAATAAAAAACAAAACAATTAAAATTGACTTTCTTTTTTGTTTGTTTGTTTCAAGAGATGTAATCAGTAAAACTGAATGTACTAGTAAAGAATTGTGACAAAAGACTGATCTTTATTGTGAAATGTAAGGATCAAAGGTCTAAGCAGGAACAGCACGTCTCCCCCGGATGTGACTCAGTGATGTATTGCTGAAACCTTTCAGCTGGAATTTAATTAAGTATTTAGTTTGTCTGATATGGTGCCAGACCTCCATCCGAGTCTTATGGGTAACAATGTCTTCCTTCCGCCACTTGATGGCAGCAGAGAGAAATCCTACAAGGTCGGAGCCAGACGTTGAGAGCTGAAAAACTCAAAATTCTTCTGAAGCGCAACAATTTATAGACTCTAATGTTATCCCTAAGAGATGATCCAACCTGCCAGCCAATTTGAGTTTAAAAGAATTGCAACTTTAACTCATTTATTAAAGCAAATCCAAAACATAACGTTGGGGGCACGCAGTATTCGCTGGCAAAAGCGAAGCAAAATCATCAAAAGCCTGTTTTTATCTTTTAATTAATTGTCATTTTAATTTGAACACAAAATAACCACAGGTTTGATTGAATCTCCCTAAAGGGAATATAGTCTAGCTTTTATAAATGTAACCACGCTTTAATTAACAGCTGCGTTTGTTCCCACAGAGCAGTGCCCAGACCTCAAAGGCAGACTGTGCCAAGGCTTTCTCCGAGCTGATCTCGTCTGTGCAGAACAGATGCAGTAAGCTGGAGCAGCTGATTGAGGCCCAGGAGAAGAGCGCCCTCGCTCAGGCTGGGGAGCTGAAGCAGCGGCTGGAGAATGAGCTCGGCGAGCTGAGAGGGAAGGAAGGTCAGCTGCTGCGGCTTTCAAGCAGCGATGACGTTGTCTACCTAACACAGGTATAGACGCCGTTTGGACTTGTGTGCACTTGCTGAAGTTCTTTTTTCCTTCTGACTTGAATAAAGCCGGCTTACCAACAATGCTCCGTCAACCTGTTTAGCAGGTCAAAACATTTGGAAGAATTTAGGCTTCCTTTATGCTTCCCTGTTTTTCTTTTTTGTGTGTGTTACTTCCTCATGACACTTTACCATGTTTCCATTTTCTAATGCCACCTAATCATTTTGTGCAAATTAATGGTGACAAATCAGAAAAGAAGGAATTTCTCTACAACAAAGGCACATAAAAGACAAGTGACTACTTGTTTTGGAGAATATATAGTGAAAGGTAAAGATTAAGGTGATGGCAAGGATGCCTTCCAACTTTAAAGACATATATTAACCAAGATACACATAAAAAAATATAAGTGGAAAAGTGAACCATCTGGTCGGAAATTGGGGTCTGGTTACTGTTACAGCAACAAAGATTTATTCATTTTTTTCTATTGATAATCAAAATGGTTTTAGATGCTATTGCTTTTCTTTAAGATGTGCCAGTGAATAAAAATGAAACCTCTGTGATTACAATGAACACTCATCATGAGTGTTGGACTTTTTCAAATAATATTATTGCCTCCCTAAGGTTGTAAAAGAGCAATTGTTTTAACTGTTTTAACTTTCTGTCCTACACAATTCTGTTCGTTTGATTCCAATTTCCTCTCACTGCTCTGTCTGGGTTTTCTTCCATTGTGCTGGATTTCTCTGGCAGAATTTCTAGAGAAAATAAGTTTTCCGCTGTATTTTAGAATTGTAGTCTGCCTGTAGTTTGGCAATGATGTTAGAGGAAGTGAAGGAACCCCTTAAGTCCGTGTTGGCCACTCTTCCAAATATTGAATTAACATTAACAGCCATCTTATTTGACTCAGTATGTTTCAATTCACAGTGGAGGATGGTAAGCTTCACAGCGTTGAACTGGCACATCACATACATCACGGCCAAACGTTAGCAAATGGGTCAAATTTAAGACAGAAACAGGCATGGACAACAGAATCCATGCCTCCAACGAGGAATCATTTCTCAGTCTCCGAGGATCCAGACTCTCTGAACGAGACAAAAGTTAGAGTGAGAGGCTGGTTTCTACCTGGATAGTTTTAATTACTTTCTCTCTATATTTTTCAGCTTAACCCCATTTCCGTCGCATTTCAAGACTTTGCACCGGGTGCCGGTCCTCCACGTTCTTTCACAGATGTGACTGCTTGTGTGACTGAGCTGAAAGCCAAAGCAGACATTTTGCTGGAGGAGACATGGCCCAAGATCTCAACTACGGGTAAGTAGAGTTTCTGTGTGTATAAGATTTACTTTCTTCCAGTGTCGCTTAAAAATGACTGTTGTGTCTTCTCACAGTCTCTTACGTTGACTTCTCCCTTTCACCTGCACCCAACAGCAGAGAGGAGTTTTTGCGTTGTAAGAAATCAAACTACAAATATCTTTCTTATGTGGTCACAAATATTGTCAGAATTATTACTGTGGTGACTAATTCTTCTTTGCTTGGTAGATTGGCGTCCCTTAACACTGGATGATACGTCAAACTACCCTAAGCTAACCCTCATGGACAACAACCAAGAAATGAGGCCTTCACCCATCCCCTATTCTCCTCATCCAAACAGATTCATAAAATTCCCACAGGTCCTTTGCAAAGAGGCTTTAACAGAGCGGTGTTACTGGGAGGTGAAGTGGCACGCTCGCACTCTCTCTGCGGCTGTAGCTTACAAAGACGCCAACCGAACTTCGGACGAGTCAGAGTTTGGGAGAAACGACAAGTCTTGGACTCTAGAATGCTCAGGAGACACCCTGACGTTTCGACACAATGATGTCGATACGAAAGTACCAGGCTCTTGCTCCAAAAAGATCGGCGTGTTCCTGGATTACCAGGCAGGAATTTTGAGATTTTATCAAGCTTCTGATCAAATGCTGCAAATCTTTGAAGTCCAGACCACGTTCACTGAGCCTCTTTATCCTGGTATTGGTTTGAACTATGAGTGGTATGATACTGGAGTATTTGCAGGATTGGCCAAATTGAAATAGTACAGAACTCATACAGAATATAATTCTGAAAATGTTAGTGAGTCGCGGTTTGCAGGTGTGGCAAAAACAATTCCGTGTAACAGAATTTCTGTCAAGAACTTGGAAAGTCTCCAAAGCTAAAGGTGAAAGGGGAGGAGTAATTAAACTCTGTGGTGGAAGGAAAATACGAGGAAGTACTTTCACTTGATTTGATGTGTTTTGAATTCGCCAAAATTTCATTGATTCTTTCATGTTGTTTTTTTGCAAAATCCATCATCAAGAGAAGAATCAGCAAATCCACCTGAACTTGTGAAATCAGTTTTATTTTGCATCGGTCTATAGTGGAACCAACTCACACACCATCAGAGAAATGCAGAGAGCAGATTTTCTGGCACTGGATTTTCTACTTTTAGTTTTGAATATAACTGGACAGTCAAGTTGCTCTGGGTGTTTAATATGTAAAATTAATCTTGGGGGAATAAACATCTTTTTAACAAATTTGAAGGTGTTATGTATTCATGATTATTGGTAATACAGTTTTAGTGTTTGTTGCTTTCAGAAATGATTCACCTAATAACAGTTATCTGTTATTTTCTTATTCTGGTGGCCCCCTGACCGACATGGGGCCCACCCACAAAATTTGTTTTAAATTTTCTTATGGAAATAGAAAAAAATGGGGTCCCTGTCAGTCACAAAATTAATCACATAGTGTTTTAAAATGGTTTTAACAGTATAAATGAAATATTCCCACTCCCAGACCAAAACACACATCTATCTATACCTATAAGCACATCTATAAGTGCGCTTGACGGTGACGGTGTTCAGCAGCAGTCGGTACAGGACAAGAAGGACTGTGGCTGTTACTATGCTGCCAAGAAAAATTATGAAATCAGGTTTTCAAAATGAGAGAGAAAAGACCTGAGTGTCAATTTATAGCCCAGTTTTTCTCCAACAGAGGTGGACAGACTGTGTGAGATTCTCAACCATGGACTCTAGAATGCTCAGGAGACACCCTGACGTTTCGACACAATGATGTCGATACGAAAGTACCAGGCTCTTGCTCCAAAAAGATCGGCGTGTTCCTGATCTTTTTGGAGCAAGATCAGGTTTTATGCTAGATCAGCTAACTATGCTAACATTTAGCATAGTTAGCTTAGCTACAGAGTACCGTTAGCCTCCATTTCACTAGCATTTAATGAATTAAGGAAAGAATTTAACAACATACTCATATATGTAACTTGTCTCTGTACCCTTTACACACTTAACAGCAGATGAGTAAGTCAGCAGCAGCTCTAGCCCCGATACCACTTATAACCTTTAACCCCTGTCCCTGTGAAAAAGGTGAACAACAGTGTACAAGCTAGTTAGCATCACATTACCTGTTACTGTAGCTGGAGAGGAGAGACATTTCAATGAACTAAACGAATAATAATTAAAAAAAGCTCAAGCAACCTATTTACATGCAGCGTGTGGACTGTAATTAATTAGTGAACGTTGTGCTAGAATCAGTATTGGACCAAAGAAAGCAATGCAGCTGCAAGCCTTTTCAATTGTGACGTGTTTGACGCATCAGAAGAAAAAAAATAGCTAACTCGGGTTTATGCTAGCGCTGGAAAACACCTAGCATGATATTTGCTAAAACCAGACCAGTCAAGTAAATTAAAACAGCGACAACAAAAATAAATATTCTTGCGTTTTTACGACGTAACCCACTTTAAACTACCTTGGAGCTAAAATATGCTACAAACAGACTTGACTCGAACCCTATTTTCGGAACCGGAAGCTCTAAGCAATTGACGGGAGGAATTTTGGTTAACGGTTAAACCACGACTTCGAACCGCTAACTGGAGAAATATGTTCCCGTAGACGTGTGAACATTATCAGGCCGTCAAGGCAAACAGAAGCAGGCCGGGTTACTACGGACACACCCATCCTCTGTCAAAACGTGTCGAAGCAAGAAGAGCAAGCCTTTGGCGTGAGACGCGGGTAGAAAAGCGCGGAGTAGACGTGGGTGGGTCGGAGCGCGTGGGCAAACTGGAAAGGTAAAAGGAGGAGAGGAGAAAAAGCGTTCACCTGAAAGAGAACCGGTCGAGCTTCGCCTGCGCTCATGGGGTCCTCTCACTCGGTGAGTACGCGTCCGTGTTTTTGTTTGTTTGTTTGTTTTTTTCCCCCCAGAGTTTTTACGCGCGACAAGAATCTCGAGACGTGCTCACGCGCACACGAACGCTGTAATACCGCTGTAATGTTTCTAAAGAAATGTCAAAGTCAGCTTTGGATCGAACAAATTTGGTATTTGACGCTTGATGAAGAACTTTAAAAACAAAAGAGAGAGAAAGAAATCCAAACAAATCCTGTCCAGCTGAATCCGTGCCTTCCACGTGAGGTGCAGTTTCGGGTGAGTGTGTAGACTTTCCTCCATAGGTGCAGCAGCTGTCATTCTGAAGGCATGTCTCTGTCAAAATGTACACAAACACACCTTCTGAGTCATTACTGATGGCCAGCAGCAAGGGTGCCATAGGGTTGAAAGAAATGGATAAGACTTTCTGTCACTTCAAAGTTGACTTTGACCCTGTGGAAACCGTTTTGGACTGTGTGCATCCGTCAGGGACCTGTTTGAAAATCAATGGCGATAAATCTCTCTCAGGTGCATTTGCATCTCTGAGTGCACTTGAAAAGTCTGTCTCCAAAAACCAAGGACACAGTGATTTGATTTGCTCACACGATCATGTGATGATGGTGAATTAATCAAAAAATCAACGAAGCCGGTTGAGACGAGATCTTGGTTGGAGAAAAAAATAACTGCTGGTAGAGAGAATGACATTTTGCCTGAAGAAACAAAATGTAGCCTATACATCATGCGTTTGAGTTATGTTTAATTTAAAAAAAGATGATAAAAAATCAAAAATCTGTGTGCTCACCTGAAGAGGTAAGATCTGATTGATTTGAAGAACTTCTGCCAGGCAGAGTTAGAGTTGGGAAATATTGTCAAGTCAAGATGTAGCATGTACCAGACCAAGTACTGAGAATGAATCAAAGTTTCTTTTTGCTTTTTTCCCGCCTTTACATTTACTTGTTCTACAGTTGAATTTTACAAATATAAAGCGTTTTATTTTCCTAACCAGCAGCACGTTTTTTAAAGATCTTAGTATGGTTATACCGTATATTTCTCATGCTGCAATTTATTTATTTATTTATTTTTATCTCATTTGTTTTGTTTTTATTTACTTTTTGTACAAATCTGTCTGATTCCACCTCTTTGCTGCTGGAACACCTGAACTTTCCCACTGACGGATGATGAAGGATTATTCTATTCTACTCTATTCTGGTCTACATGTTTTTTTTTTTCTGCGCTTTGTCGAAAAGACTTCATACATATGCATGGCATCCCTACTTAAATAAGAATAAGAATAAAGTCGTTGTATGACGAGAATGAAGTCACAAGTTAATTCCAGTAAATTTATTTTTCAGAATTTTCTTAGCGTTGTGGTTTGTTGCGTGTCGCTGCCCTTAAGACTTTTCCTCAGCAAATTCCCAGTAAATCACTGTAGGTTGAGTTCTTTCAGACTGAGTTGGCCTTCTGTGAGCGTTAATCGAAGTGTAACCATTAGTGCTTTGCACATGCTTGTCTGATTGAGAAACAGTAATTCCTGAGTCACTGAACAAGTCAGCTGGAAAACTGACATGAAATGTAAAATCTGAAAGCAATGAATATAGAGATGATGGAACTGATTACGTTGGAAAGAAGCTCTTAGGCTCTTCGGCTGCACTAACAGGTTATTCCTGCTTTATATGAAGCAGTGTGTAACTTATCGAAAGCGGTCTCATTAAATAGCTGTTCATTTTTAAGCCGAAGGTTTTCATCAGCTAATATGGCAGCTCTCACTGCTGCCGCAGTTTCTATTTGCTTCTTATGCTTCGACGACTGATTTCAGTCACATTAGGAAAATGAATACTTGCTGAGGTATGCAGCTTCCAAAAGTATTCATACCCTTCACACAATACAACCACAAACATAAATATGTTTCATTGGAATTTTATGTGAAAGGCCGACACAAAGTGCACAGGTGTGAAGCGGTGGGAAAAATTATGCAAGATTCAAAATGTTACGTACAAAAAAAACATGAAAAGTGTGGTGTGCAAACGTGTTCAAGCCCCTTTTCTCCAGAAGTTACTTGACGACTGCTATAAATCCAGCTGCTTTGTGACGCCTCAAAGGCTAAGAGAATACTGGGGAGCAAATGGCATAATGGAGTCCAAGGAACGAACCAGACAGGACAGGGAGAAACATGGCTATAAAAAGATTTCCCGAGCTTTGAACGGAGCTCTGTTCAGATCATCATCCAGAAACTGAAAGTGTGCAGCACAACTGTAAGCCGGCCTAGACGAGGCCGTCCAGCCAAACTTCCAGGCTGAACATCTCTAATCAGGGCCCTGATTAGAGATGCAGTCAAGAAGTTCATGGTGACTCTGGACCAGATGCAGAGATCCACAGCTCAGGTGGAAGGAATCTGTTCACGGGAAAACTTTTAGTCATGCAATGCACAAACTGCGTTGTTTATGGAAGAGAAGACCAAGATGGTGGGTGGTGATGGGAACATGAATGGAGCCAAATACAGGGCAATCATGGAAGAAAACCGCTTTGAGTCTGTTTAAAACAAAACGTATACATGTGTAAGAATGGTCCAGTCAAAGTCCAGACTTTAACCTATTTGAGAACCTGTGGCAAGATCTGAAAACTGCTGTTCGTCATCTAATCTGACCGAACCGGAGATGTTTTGCAAAGAAGAATGAACAAAAAAATTTAAGTCACTAGATGTGCAAACTAGACAAACCTAAAAGACTTGAAGCTGGAATTGAAGCAAAAGGTGGTTCAACAAAGTACTGACTTTTTCACACCACAGTTTTCAGTTTCTTATTTGTTTTCCATTCCTGCAGGATGAGATATTGTCATATTCTGCGGTGTTGCTTTTTTTTCCCTCTCCTTTTCCTGTAAAATGTTGAGTTGAAGTGCTACTTTGGATTTTTAATGATGCAGGACGTTTTGTCTCATCAGGCATGCAAATAAAAACCTAGCTGTAAATCATCGCTGCAGTCCTGAAAGCAGTTGTTGCTAAACGGTGCGCTATACTCATGTCTGGTCTCGTTGCTCAGGAATTAACAGTCCCAGTTAAAACCCGTCGCACTTGTGCCGCTCTAATACGCGTCAGCGCAAGCAGTTCATACTTATGAATCTCACGCCCACAGCAGAAAAAACATTGAGGTCCTGTTCTTCCATCAGGCAATCTTGAAAAGGTGCTTGTTTCAACGGTGCTATAGAATCAAAGAACCTTCCCACTCTTGTAGTTGCTAATTTGTGGTTCTTTTTTTATGGGAAAGGAATAAACGCAACAACCCTTAATACAAATTACTCTCCAATACTTCCTCTTTACCAGGGAATGGAGATGCCCCGCAGTAACGGCAGCTGTGTCGCCAAGGAGAGTATTGTAAGTACTCCAGCTGCCACAGTGACGGGCACTCTCATTCTCTCCATGGTGTTTCTGTTGGGATTCCCCGGAAACCTCTTCGTCATCTGGAGCATCCTGGCGCGGGCCCGAAAGCAATCCGTCACGACCCTTCTCATCCTCAACCTAGCCATTGCGGATGGCTCCCTGATGGCTCTGACCCCGTTCTTCATCGTCTATCTGGCTATGATGGACTGGAAAATGGGGACTGTGATGTGCAAGGTTCTGTTCTACCTCTGCTTGGCCAACATGTACGCCTCCATCTACCTGATCATGCTGATGAGCATTTACAGGTTGGTGTCGATCGTGTGGCCCCAGCGCATCAGCGCGATCACCAGCAAGAGGACGATCACACGTGTGTTGGCTGTCATGTGGTTGCTCATCATGGTTGCCTCAATTCCTGCGCTGATCTATCGAGAAGCGAGGCTTAATGCAGGGAACAGAACGGTTTGTGATTCATTCCACGACAAAGACCCAGATGTAAGTTTGGACAATGCCTTTCTTTCTTAGCTCTGTGAACACATGTGAGCTTTCTTTAATTCCTCCCTTCTTTTGCCCACCTGTATCCCAGGCAGTTCTGCAGTACATGCTGGAGGTTGTGTTGGGCTTCGTGGTACCTTACGGAATCATTTTAGTCAGTTACATTTGCATCCTGAGACGGATCCGGCAGACCAGATTCCGCCGCAGGATCCGCAGCGAAAAGCTAATCCTGGCCATCGTGGTGACCTTCTGCCTGTTTTGGTTACCCTACCACATCATCAACATGGTGCAAGTACGTCACGTTTCTTCTGAGCATGATATAATTTTGAATAAGTTCAGTCAGCGGATTAATAATCATGTCGTTTTTGTATTCCCCTCAGGTTGCATCGGCTTTGCTTCCAGGATGTTCACCAACAAGAGTAGTGTAAGTGTTCCTCTGTCCGCAAATGCACTCATCTTAGAAAAACAACTCAAACAAGCACCGAGCTATTTTCCTCCAAGGATAAATTAACCCTTTTTTGTACCAATGAAAGGACTGAGGACAGAGACAGAAACTGATTGGCTTAAAGAATGGCTCTCATGAACTATAACTCCAGCCCTATTGTTCAGGGTATTGAGCCATTAAAAAATATTCAGATTTTCTGACAAAAATAAGAACTCTGGCTGTGAGTTTTTTAATAATTCATTCTTCTTTCCCAACTCTCACTCATCTGTTCATGTCTTGTCCGACAAGGTTGGAGAAAATATGGAAGAAGTTTCGTGCCGTTACCTCCACAGTCGCCTTCATCAGCAGCTGTGCCAACCCGGTGCTCTACTTCTTCGCAGGAAAGTCTTACATCAGACGGGAGGGCGTGGCGTTCATGGCTCGCTTGTTTGAGGGCACGGGCTTGGACTTCTCCAGGAAGAGCCGAATGAACAGCCAGAACAGCCGGGACAAGGACAAAGACGCGGAAGTTGTGCTGCAAGGCAAGGATGGAGACTTTTCCACAACCTGAAACTCTTAACATCAAATCAACAAAAACGGAAAATAGAAGTGAACCCCCGCTCCGGTCTTGAAATCTTTCTTCCGTCCAAATGTTAAAAAACAAGTTTTACAAAGACTTGAAGAGTCTGTAGCACCAAGAAAGATTCAGCGGATCGCCGAAGACGAACTCTTGGATACATTTGCAGACAAAAACCTGTTAAGATGGTGATGCTTCATACATACAGAAGTATTTGAAAACGGGCCCAACACCCATATGAACCTTGGAATATCAGACAAACTGAGAGTCATAGCCTGGGATGCTTAGACGTCTAAGAAGTCTAATTCAAGTCCTCTAACTTTGTACATTCTGTTTCTACGTGCTTTTAAATACATTGTCTGCTATTAATTTGCTTGCTGATGTCTTTTTCCTGGGGCATCAACTTTTATTATCTTTGCATAAAAGCATTTTTAAGAAGTCATTGAAATAGATGTGAATTTTTAGAGCTTTTGTATAAAAAAGAATATTGTGTGCTTCATCATATCAAAACATTGAAAGAGAGTACTGGTATCACTTTAGCGTCCTTCTCATGTTTGCACTACATGGCTGTTCCAAACATGATTTTGTAATTCCCTCTCCAGGACAATAATGTTTAGTTTCACAATACATGCCACTAGATGTCACCATTTCCACCCTTCTTTCTTTCTTTCTTTCTTCCTTTCTTTCTTTCTTTCTTTCTTTCTTTCTTTCTTTCTTTCTTTCTTTCTTTCTTTCTTTCTTTCTTTCTTTCTTTCTTTCTTTCTTTCTTTCTTTCTTTCTTTCTTTCTTTCTTTCTTTCTTTCTTTCTTTCTTTTTCTTTCTTTCTTTCTTTCTTTCTTCTTTCTTTCTTTCTTTCTTTCTTTCTAAAAAAGTGGCATTAATGAATATCTGTGAATTTAATTGAATTCTTTATCATCTTTTTCAAGAAAATGCCATTCAAATTCTCACAACTTTCACTGAGTTATAGCTATGCACTACAGTTTTAGCCAAAGTGTGTTTGTTGTACATATGATTGTACTTTACTTTTGCAGAATGTTGTGAACAAATTAAAATACCCCAAAAATATCTGCAATAACAATGTGAACCATATATATTTAGTCCCTGGTATTCATTTAAATAGAAACAATCTGCAGCTTACAGTAACAGCTGTGCTAGTGGTGCATGGTTCTGTCTCGAATATCAAGATCTGATTCTTCTGCATTGAATACACCAACAGAGTTAGATATCATCGTGAAAAAGTCATTTTTGACGACGCTCATGCTGTCATGGACATGAATGCTTGCCTTTTAGGAATGATCAACAAGTGTCGTGGTGTTTTCAGGTCATCAGCTATGGCAATTGCTTAAGAAATGAACAGGAAATGCTCATACAGATGCGAGAAATGCACCAAAGTGACTGAAAAACTGCACCGAGTCATGGATTTCCATCAAAAGAAATATTTCCCTGAAAGTTGGGATCTGGGAAATCAGATCCCAACTGTGTGTGTGTGTGTTGAAATACACCTATATCCTTCATGCTCCAAAGTATTTTTGCAATGTAGCTGAACCACAGCCAGAAATCTCCTTTGGCAATCTTTTTTGTTTCCTTATTTCCTTGTGAGCTGAATATCAAGATAACTGGTGGTCTCACTAGCTGATATCAAGGTATCTTGAGATCTAACAAAATATGGATGGATGGATGGATGGATGGACGGACAGACAGACAGACAGATAGATTAGGCTCTGTGAGAAGCGGAAGCACAACTCTAACAGTTTAATATTTTTGTCATTATTTATGTTTAAACCCTCACTCGTGTACACAAAAGCCTTGAAGCGGTGCTCTGCGCCGGGCGCGTCTCCCTATATGGCAGCCTGCAGCTTTGGAATGTGAGGACGCTGCACATTTCTCAATAGGTCAGTCCAAACCCCAAACGTCTTAGCCTAGATGAGTTAATGGCTCTTAGTATAGACCTGCTAATGAGTAACGATGACTGTTTGACAATGGTCATTTATTTTCTGTTGATATTTTAAAAACGTTTAGACCACTGTCAGTTTTGAATCAAATAATTATCTGGTAATACAGGAAGCTTTTGGTAGAGTGAATGACAACCCTACCATTTTAGCCACTTCCCACAAAACAGAACATAACATTCATAGTAGCTCTAGTAGATTGATTTTCAATTTTTTTTTCCTGCTGTGAACCACTTAATGCTGGCTTCAAATATTTAAACAGTCTATGTGGCATTATGTTTTATTTCTTTTCTGATTTTGAGGTAGCTAAAAAGACAGTAAAGGAACACACAGGCACATAGCAAAAGGTCTGTGGCAGGAAGTTTACTGTGTCAAGGCCCTGGTTCAAACCAGGTTTTTGCCGTCGCTAAACCTTTTGGCCCAGTTTCACCTCACTTTCTGTAACCCCCAGCAAGTCGCTGTTCCGATTGAGCTGGCCTGGCTGCTTGTCTGCTGAATTGTACCTAGCAGTATATGTAGCCTTCAACTTGCTCGATATTCTATTGACCAATCAGAACTGGAATTGAATTACTGGTGAACACGAGTTCGATGTTATCCAACGCTGTGTGGTAAAGCAAATGCAGTCTCACACACACACACAGGTTTGCCTGTAGCTGATAACGGCAATCTCCGCCCATTTCCGAAGCGGTACTTTCCTCAAGGCTAACGTAGCTAGAGCTGGGGTACAACGGGGTCAGAGCAACTGTAGTTTGGCGGTTTAGCTTTAATAAAGAGGTCATTTTTCCGTAAAAGAAAAAAAGAGAGAGAGAGAAAGAAAGAAACTAAACCAAAAGTTATGACAATGTGACAATGGAAAGGGGCTGAACTGCGACAGGCATTCTTGGACTTTTAACGTTACAGAAATCCTCTTCTCACTCGGCCCAGTTTGACAAGAAGTTGGTTCTGGCAGGAGATGTTGTTTATTATTTTAAAAAACAAACAAACAAAAAAAAAGCAGTTAAGGCCCAAACGGTTTGACATCACACACTGTATTTTTATCCAACAGGCCGTGCGCAAATTTAAAAGTCCACTGCCGTTTAAGTTAAATACTCTTAACTCAATAGCAGGAAGAATTATTTTCTAGGACTGAAAGCTGAGTTAAGCACATATATGCATTTCACTTGTTTAAAAAAATGACTTTGAATGTCTTAAAAAAAACAACAAAACCCTCAACTGAGCAGTTTCAGACAGAAAAGTAGATTGTATGATGCAAACCATGACACAATTGACACATCGCCGATGCTTATGAAACTGAATACATCCTGTCCATAGGCTTTAGATGTGGAAAGAAGGGGGGGAAGCTGTGTTGCAACAGCAAAAAAAAAAAAATAAAATACAAATGCTCCGTGATCCGAACTCGTGTACGAACAAGTCAGTCAGTTTACTGGAATATCCACCTCCCTCATGTATTTTCTCCCCCAAATGATGACATCTCAATGGCCATTGCCTTTGCCATAAACTAAGCATTTTGAAGTATTCTTTTACTTTTATAGAATGAAATTATGAAAGGCAAAGTAGCTTCAACCAGACTGGAATTTATTCATTTATTATGATTGGACTTTACTTTCTTGCGCCATACAGACATTTGACAGAGAGACCTACTTCATTCGCATGCCAACGTCTGGAGTTGTCGGCGCTATCGGATATCAAGTGCAGGAAGATATCAGGTGCATCTTCCTGCAAGAATCCAAAACTGTCTGAGCAAAATGAAAAGAGGAGGAGGAGGAAGAGGAGCAAGGACAACATAGAAATCCAGTTGGGTTTCTCTTGGCTTCCTGTCAATGGTTTTCCCCTCACGTCACGTGACCAACATTTCGCAATGCGCTGGTTTGCTCATCACAGAAACGGCAGTCAGAGACACAGAGAGAGAGACAGAGAGAGAGAGAGCAGCAAAGTTCATGCAAGTGGAGAATAACGACAGAATACAGTGGAGTTATGGTGGTGAATTGAAGAGATCATTTCCAGGTGAGTTTCATGAGATTGATACTTTGACCTTTGGATTGAAATGCAGACAATTATTTGATTAATATTGCCTTATTTTCAGTCTTGAAGTTTTGAGAAAGGGATTAAAAATGTTGCTGCTCAGGTTTGATATTGCTATTCATTCAACGTACAGTATGGAGTTTTTAATTGAAAGCTTTACCATGTGTGTTGTTTTATTTTATTCTGTTATTTGTATTTAATTTTACTTTTTGAACAACTTGTGGTGTTTTGGTGGTGGGCTGGAATGATTTCATTACTTCTTTTTTATTCCTCTTAGTTTCATTCATTTCAATGCCTTTAAAGCAAACAGAAGGTTCCTGAATAGATTAAAAAAAAGTTTTTAATTACTAAAAATAGCTTATTTGTAATTGTTTATTTTCTCGACCAAATATTACATAAGACAAAACTGACTTACAGGTAACTTTTAAGCAAGACATAGAAGCTAAATATTGAATGAAAAAAAGAAAAAAAGATCGATATGTTTGATTCCACTGGCAGATTTTTTCACTTAAAACACATTTCCCATGTTATAAGTGAAATTATCTGCCAGTGGAAGTGGCACGTTTTCTACTCAATCTTACGCCATCACTCGATTTTTACAAGCTCCTGTATCTTGCTAAAAAGTTACCTGTAAGTTTTATTTCAAGATATATGCACTGGAACGTAGAGAAAAAAAAATACTCTGTAAGATTATTTTTTTTGCAGTGAGGATAAACAGCACACCATGTTTCCTCCCTTTCCTCCCTTTCTGACAGGTTTGGCGGTTTCATGCGAGCTGAAGCCAAATTCCCAGTCTTAAGAGGATTTTTTCTTTGGGATCCAGTATGAACACCACTACCGCCGTCTCTTCGCCTCCTCCCAGCGATGTCTCGGCTCGCATTGGCATCGCCATCCTGGCCCTGGCCTTCCTGCTGGGCTTCCCTGGTAACATGTTTGTCGTTTGGTCGGTGCTCTGCCGGGTGAAGAAGCGCTCGGTGACGTGCTTGTTGGTGCTGAACCTGGCCTTGGCCGACGGCTTCGTGCTCCTCAGCGCCCCGCTGTTCATTCGGTTCCTGGCGGCAGGACTGCACTGGGAGTTTGGCTCGGCGGCGTGCAAGCTGGTGCATTACCTGTCGAGCGTGAACATGTACGTGTCCATCTACCTGATCTGTCTCATGAGCATGGACCGCTGGCGTGGCCGTCACGAGGCCCTTTGTGTCTCAGAGAATGAGGACCAAGCGCTCCTTCTGGTCCTCCTGTTTGGGGTCTGGGTGTTGGCTTTCCTCCTGTCTCTGCCAATGCCGTTCTATCGCAGGTAAGACCAACACAGACAAAGATATTTTGGTACAATGGTACAATGAGGTATTCTGATTGTGACGCAATGGAAAAACCCTTGGAAATGTTTCAATGTTGGAAACATTTTTTAGTCTCTAAAACCCCTTTTCGAAGGGTTTTTAGAGACTAAACTGACTTCCAAGAAGTTTAGTCTCTAAACCCTAGAGACTAATCTACTCAAGGGTAGTTTAGTCTCTAGGGTCTCTACGAACTAGTCTCTAGTTTACAGACTAACAAGCTTTTAGCATCCAGAGACTAGTTAGTTTCAGAGACTAGTTTAGGGGCCGTCACAATCGAGTCTCTAGGGCAACCATAACTAACCACCCTAGAGACTGAACCCAGTTTTAGAAACAAGGTTTCAGAAACCTAAAGAAGGTTCAGGTTTCTAACCTTCAGAATCGTAATGTCAATCTGAAGATAATGTTGAGGGAACTAAACATTAGGATGATGCCAATCTCAAAGACTTGGAGTTCATCATCAAAGGCCATAGTACGATAAATTTTATACAGATTGAACTAAAAAAAAATAGCATTTTTACAACTTCAAGAACAGAAAAGGGAACAGTGACAATGACATTTGTCAGAACAGCAATTATTGTCTGCCATGATTCAAAATTACGCAATATTCCAGCAAAAACAAAACAAAACACATTGCATAACTTGCCCTACATTTGTCTTTCAATCAGTCCTGAGTTGACACGCATGATCATTGGTCTTCTGTTGTGGAGTTAAGATCTTGTTTGAATTAAATGTTTTCTGTGAATGAAAACTGTTTAATTTCATACAGTAATTTTATGAATCAAACAAATCTGTAGATTTCATTGTACGTACAAAAGCTTGGGGAAACTTCTCAATCAGCTTTAATTTATTGGGTAAAATGTAAAATTTTTCATGGTCTCAACAAGTTGCACCACCAATTACCTTTGTTCTCTTTGTTCATGTAACAAACCTTAAGTTTTAAAGAGGTAAGGAAGGCTAAATTTAGCAGCATGTCTTTGTCGCTTTATTAATCATCTGCCAATGATATGTATATTTTTAAAGTTTAGAAAGATTTTAATGCTTCATGAAATACTTTTGACAACTTGTCATAGACCTTTGACTGTAGAGTTTTGACTTCACAAAAAAATGTAAGTGAAACAATTACTGATTATATAGTTTTTATCAGCAAGGGCACAATAATATAATCAGCAACTGAATGTTGCATACCTAATGCATAGCCTGTGTATACGGTATCCAGGCGCCTCATTCTCTCTGCTTGTGTCTTTTTCACAGTATTATAAAGAAACCTATAGGGAACAGGAGCTTGAACATTTGCATGGCATACCACTGGGGGAGCATGGGTCACCCGGTCTTCCAGTACCTGTTTGAGACCATCATGGGCTGCTTGGTTCCCTTCTCACTCATAGCACCTGCTACTCCTCCGTCATATGCAGACTGCAAAGTGCCAAGTTCCAGCGCAGAGGACAAGGCAGTCGTCTCATCTGCTGATCATTGTCACCTTGCCATTTCTGGCTTCCCTATCACATCGTCAACATCATTGAGGTAATTCTGCTAATGCAGTTGTTAGTTGTAGCATCTGAAAACGCTGTATAACATTTACTTCTGTTTATTTTGGTTTTCAATGCGTTTAGGTCAGTTGACGCTTCGAACTGTCAAACATGTCGGGCGCAAGTGCCTTCAAAACTCCTTTGTGACTTTTTCTGAGAACTGAGCAGTGAAATTTTCAAAGAGTGCGACGTCAAACAAATTCAATTAATCGTGATGTGTTTTCCGGGGACATTGCGCCATTCCATCGAACAATCAAACTGTTACCTACAGTTGTTCTGAAAATGCTGTATACATCGTTAGCCCTCTTTGACACTTTGATACTGGCCTTTGTCTCTGAACCACCCAGTCCTTTCCAGCACTCCCCCCTCAGGACTTCGTCACAACGATGACCTACAGTGATATTCTGACCAATAACATGGCAGTGCTCTGTCGAGTGGAGGATGCCTCTCATGCTGATTGGCATTACAGGACGATTAACTGGAATTCTTCATGAACAGTTCCTAAATTGAAGAAACACTTTCCAAATTAGGATGAAGACCCAAACTTCTTCATAGAAGCCCACTTTTAAAAGAAGTCCACATCCTCCTGTTGGCATGGATTATTTGAGAAATGTCTCTCTTCTCACTTCCTCAGGTGGCTTGTTTGCTGAAGAACGACAAGCCGGGGATACGCTGCACTCCCAGCGCTCGGCCCAACGTCACAGCCTTCGCCTACTTCAGCAGCGCGGTGAACCCCATCCTCTACGTGTTCGCCGGCAGCTCCCACATCCGCCAGGCCGGCCTCAGCTTCATGGGCCGGCTCTTCGAGGCCACCTACTCGGAGAGCAGGACCACGTCCACCGTCACGCGCAGCGGCCGCAGCGGCTCTTCGCCGGACGAGAGCTCCGTCCTGTACACGCTGTCGACCAAAATCGGGAAGCCCTTCAAAGGAAAGGGCAAGGAGAGAAGCAGCAGCGTGGCGGGAAAGGAAGCTGACGAACCAGAGCTCAAAACTCTTGCCATGGTCGAACAGTTAGAATAGCACTGGAGCTGTTTTTACATTATACTACAAAAAGGAACGTAACTTTGAAAAAAAAAAAAAAAATTAACCTTCTGTGTTGAGTTTCATTGTTTTTTGTTAATATTACTGTGCCTCAAACAGCGTAAGTTATAATCTATTTAAATGTTGTTATAAACATTGATGCTGTAATGAACTTTTTTATGCATTAGCAACAGGATTTCATGTGAAATAGCAGTAACAGAGCAGTAGATTCAAACTTTGAATGTATATTTCTTTTTATCAAACTGTGTACACAAGACTGAAATTACTTTTATTATTTAAAAAGAAAAACATTTTGATATTAAACTACCATCCCAATACCTTATTGTCTGTATTTATTATTATAATTTAAACATCAGAACTTTAGAGTTGTATATTCTTCAAGTACGTGAGTTGATTTTTTAAAGGGGAAAAAATAGATCTTAAACATATTTAAATAGTAATAATACCAATAAATCTGTGTCGAGATTTTTTTGGGGTGACTTTCTGGATTTTTTTCACAATCTATTTACGCATCTATATTGGTAAGAGTCCGATTGATTCATGACGTTCTGCTGCACAAACAGAACATTGCACAAGAATCGTTTCGTCAACCATCCTTCCCGTAATCGTTCTGATACATCGCTCTTCCCTCTGTTTCTCAACGCGAGTGAGATGTTCGTTTTGCTTACACCTTGTGGTTAAACTCCGCCGATGTTCAGAGCTGCTGTCACACTGTGGTGGACCGTTGACACAGATGTAAAAATGGAGCAACTTCACTGGAAACATGAGTCACATTCATGAAGCGGTCTCAAAACCCGACATTCCAAGTGCTGATTTAGTACCGAAGCTTAGAAATACATCCGACACTCAAAACGGAGAAAAAAAAAAAAGATTTATGATATCCCACCTCATCAGTCACGCTTGTTGATGACAAAGACATCAGGAATAGTTTTGCTTCCGGGGTTACCAGTTCAGATGTGCAGCTTAACAGCTGACGATTGGAAACTTGTCCAAAGAAATTTACATTTATTGCTTGCCGGTTTTTTTTTAAGTTGTTTTATTTGTCAAAAATATCTCTTTTTCAATGTATTCTGATTAGCTTTAAAGTAATGTATTCCTTGTTGTTTCTTATGATCGTATGTTGTTTTGATGTTTGTCTGTATTCCTTGGTTTCCTTTTTATTAGACATTTTTTTCAGTTTTATGTTCAATTCTTCCTTAGTGATTAGTTTGCTATGCTTATTGTTCATGTTAACACTTTGTTTTTCCTCTTCGGTCTAGTTATTCTTAAGTTTTAGATTTATTTCTTAGTCCCTTGAATCTGTCTCTCTCCCCTCAATCCTGTAACTCATTTCTAATCAGTTACAGTTGACACTTTGATACTGGCCTTTGTCTCTGAACCACCCAGTCCTTTCCAGCACTCCCCCCTCAGGACGTCGTCACAACGATGGCCTACAGTGATATTCTGACCAAATAACACGGCAGTGCTCTGCGAGTGGAGGTTCTGTTCATAATTGAACAATGAACAGATGTTCATTGTTCAGTTACTCATTCCAGTTTCTCCTTGCTGGATCCTTCTGTCTAATACTGTTTTATCACATTGAACCTTGTTATCTCCCTGCTGATTTCCTGTTTTGCTCCTGGATTCCTGTTTTTGTCCTGCCCTGGCTCCCTGTGTTCCCTCTAGGTTTACTTGAATAGGTTTTGTTGTTTTTTTTAAATTATTTTTGGTCATTTGACGTTCTAAGTTTTCTGCCTGCATTTTCTGCATTTTGATCCTCCATCATAACATATATCATGACAGAGTATTTTGTGTTTGGCTCTGTTACATAAAATACATTACAGTTTGTTGTTGGGCTCTGGTGGCTAAGGTTGAAGGAGTTCAACCTGCAACCGCTGGGTTGCAGGTTCCAATGCCAGCTTTGTCTGAGGTTGGAATAAATACACATTGGAATAAATGCTGCAGCAATGACTGAACATAGCAAGAATATCCAATCATTGCTGGACATTCAGCAATGGACAAGAATGTCCATTGCCATCTGCAATGCAGTGCTTTGGAGATGCCATTTGCTATTTTAGCATCTGTGGTATTTATACAGAAACACTTCAAAAGGTTGTGCTGTGGTTAAAGAGATGTGAGCCGGAGATAATATGAAACAGCTGTAAGCCAAGTCAAATTTGAAAACAAGCTAAATTTGACAAAACCAGGGAGTGTGTAAAAAGCACTACGTGGGGACAGAGCTTTTAGAGGTTGTCATGGATTCACTAGCTTGATGACATCATCCAGTTTTGCTGCGGTGTAAAATGTCACACAAGCTACATACGCAACAGACGAGATAATTGATACTGACTGCCAGGTACTCCTCCATTACTGCTGTCATCAGCGGAAAATCATGACATTCTGTTTTTGACTCTCTGTCAATAAAGTCTGCAAGACCAGACATTCCCTGCAGCTGTACGACTCACCAGAAAGAAGAGAATTTATCAATTATTTTCAATATCTTCCACGACCTGATGAGTAAATCTCTTTCTTTTTGCGTAAAAATCTTTTGGTATAAACTCATCAGCTGCAGTGAAACTGGGTCTTATGAGTTGGATTAGTTTTGGAAACAGGATGCGTTCCTTTACTTAAACATGTTCACATCATTAGTAATAAGAAAAGTCTTGCATATTACGGACTTCTTCTATGAAATGTGCCATTTATATGCCTCCAAGTACTAGTTTATTAGTAGAGAAGTATTGGTTACATATAATTTCATTATTGCCCAACTGTGAGCTTTTAAATAGCGAATAGTGTTAAGCTAGGTCAGAAATATGGCTCATTAATTTCCTTGCAGTTTTTATGGCACTCTTTCTGCACTGACTCATCCAATACCAAATTGATTCATTAATTTAGAAAGAGCCAGTATATTAATATATCATAATGTGGACCGCAGCAATCATGTTTTAGTAATTATCTTTCTGATGTGTTGAACCAGAAGATAATCAGGAATCTTCATGAATCATGAATCCTCAGTGGAGCCATTAGAAGTTCACAGCGAACAACGAACCCTTTCACGACATGCTGTATTTATATAGCAAATAATGACAAGTTTTATGCAACTTATGCATAAAGAAATGAAACTATTGCTTCTGTGAGATGCAGGCGGACAGTTGCATCCAGCAAAGGCCTGACAAAGTTTAAGCAGAGAAAAACATTTCTCTCTAAATAAAGGTGCCAGTTTCAAATAGAAAGTGTTGAAAGTTAATGGAACAGTTGGGAGGACTGAACTTTTTATCTATTTTTTTTTATGCTATGGTAAAGACTGCGAGCCAAAAAAAAAAAAAAAACAAAGAAAACCCCCAAAAACCACGAAAACAGCATGACTTTGTGAATTTACATCCAATACAAAATACAAAGGCTTTCCACACATTTCAGATTTCATTTGTAAACCGTTTAAAGAAATGCGTCCTTACACTTCACAATAGATACAAGGGAAAGTCATGAAAGTCCTGCATGGTCTTGCAACACTGTTGCAAGACCAATTCCTTGTTCTCTTTTGAGTTATTACCAAATAAACTTAACTGAAGTCACTTCACTTCAGATTACATATATGTGGCAAGGTGACTTGTTTTTCCTTTTGAGTTAGTTTTGATATGTTTTGGATTGTATATTTTGAAGTTATTTTCTTAGTTTATTTTGGATTAAATGTTTTGTTTTTGCATGTTTTGATTGGTTGTTGGTCAGTGCCGCATGCGCCCCACGGCAGCAACACAGCTGATCCGCATCTTCATCAAGTTGTTTACAGATCAGGAGGAGTAAAAAGGCCATTGGACTGTGACGGCGTGAAGGAGCGGCAGACGGCTCGGACTGGCTTCAGGCGTGGTACAGGAGGGACCGGCCCTGAGGACTGCTAATCTGGTCGCGGCAGAGGAGCGGGCGGTCGGCTAAGGAAGTGGAACTGCTGGGCTGAGAACCGGAGATCAGGCTGGACGTACAGAAGCAGAAGGACCGTTTCCCCTGAACGGAGCCGTTGGCTAGCGCTCACTAGGTCCGTGTGGACTGGAGGATTGTTTGGACCCGGCTGGACGTGTGAGCAGCAGCGGACCGCGCCCCTTCCTCTTCCCCTGTTGTGGGCCAGTTAGACTTTTTTTAAGGACTTGTATAATGATCCTTCTTCAGCAAATGTTTCCTTTTTAACTAGTTGTTTTTAAAATAAATTATTGTATCCCTTTTATCAGTTTGTTGCGCCTCTGTCCACAATCCTGCAGTTATTTTGTATACAGAAAATTGAGCTCTCGGCCTTCACAACTTGGCGCTGTGGCAGGGCCTGCGGGATTGTGAACAGTGTTTTATTAGACATTTTTTTTAATAAAAAGGGAAAAGATTGATGATGCCCATTTATCCTGTGCCCCATGGATTCCTAAATTTGTAGGCAAAATGATGATGTTAAATATAACGAATGGAAGGAGCAAATACAAGGTCTTTTAGATGCAAATGATTTGCCTGAATCGCATAAGGTAAAAATTTTGATTGGTGCCTTGTCTGGGTTGCCCAGACGCCAAATTAATGTGCTCTGTGATGATGACGTGATAGGGTGACAAAAATATTTTCAGTTTTGGATGACTTGTATACAAAGAAGGTTCCTGTGTCTGCTTTACGGTCACAATTTTTGGTTGTGTGCAGAAACCAGGTGAGTCCGTTCAGGCATACGGACTCCGGTTGAGAGAGCTGTACCGTAAACTACAGAACACAATGCAACTGAAGCACCCACTGATATTCACCTTAGGGACCCAATTCCTGCTTGGCCTGGGGATGGCGCCATGCTTCAGCTGCTAAAGCGAGTTGTGCGCCTAGACCCTGATGCGACCTTCAGCGCTGTTCAACAAGAGGCTCTTCTATTAGAAGAGGAACAAAGTCCAAGATGGCCTGAAGCGACATGTGCCGCGGTAAGGGACCCTAAACACTGTTCGATCTCAACAGAGTGATGTGTGGAAAAGGAGCTGAAAAAGGAACTTATGGAGGAAG